GGATACATCAGAGATCAAATTAAAATTATGCACATTGTTGTATGTGTCTAATAAAATAATTTGCATTATCATTCATGATGACATTCGGAATTATAGTTTCTACTACGTATTATCTAGGCACTCCAAGAAGCTTAGTCGGCAACTACATGCATTTAATGGTGATATAGCGAATGTCTTATATTAATATTAAAGTAGATTTAGAGATTAAGCATGTTGAAAATCCTTCTTTAATTTATTAATGTATGAAATTAACCGTATTTCTTATAAGTAATCTATAATGTTTAAGCGTTACTGTCTAAATATATGTATACGAAACTAATCTAGAGTTAACTAAAATTTATGATGACTTTATATGTACATGAACTTGGTACATATAACGATAAGCACTAATTATAAAAATTTCTATGTGCGTGTATATTTGTAACTCTTTCGCGCTCAATACAGATATATTAGATGAGTACATATATAGACTATGACTTGATGTAGCACATAGACTAACGTCTGTAATGCCCGATTTCAGCAACAACCCATAAGCTACCGCCTACGTATGGGATCCCTAGCTTAAAAGTCCCCCAAACTAGCCCCTAAATTAAATTTCGTTTTGCGATATATATTGCTATAGCCCATATTTCGAGCACCTAAATTTAGGGAGCCTTTTAATATTTAGGTGACCCCTAAATGTCGGTGAAACAGAAACTGTCCCCTAACAGCCCCCTAACCATGCTTAGGGGATCCGTTAAACTTAGGTGACTTTGGTGAAATCGGGCATAAGACAACTAGACAACGACTTACCCATGCTTCGCTCTGGACGCGGCCGAGCGAAGCGAGAGTATATCGGTTATATGTTAATTACTTTCTGTTATCTAGATACTTGATAAAGCTTAGTCGGCTTAGTCGGCCCATTAATGGATTTAATGGTTATGTAGCATAACTCTATCATTAATACTTAAGTAGTATTGATCAAAAGATTAACTTATTTATATGATATACTGTAAACAGCTAATTCATTATGAAAATTTTTAGTTTGTAACTTACGACTTATCTGTAGTATTACTATATAACTATAATATTAATATTATGATGAGGTAAAGTTTGTGAGTTTGTGAGGTTGTAGGGGGTAATTTCTGGATCTACTGAACCGATTTAGGTAAAATTTGGTAAGAAGATTTTGAGACCCTGGGTAGGATTATGGGATAGGATTTTTATCCCAGAAATCATCTCTTAAGGAAGTGAAAGTTAGTAAAAGTTTGTATTGGGAAGCAAGCTAGGGACGAACCCGAGCGAAGCGAGGGTGAGTCGCTAGTATAACTATAAACGGAACGAAATTTGACTCTCCTTCTAATTTACTAATGTAGACTGTAGAGTGTAGAGCTTACTTAAATGTTATACATTTATACTACAATTTAAACTAATTATTATAATTTATATTTATTAATTATTATAATGTTAAGTGACCACTTTCAAGTAAATTATGTTTTGATTAATCAAAAATAAAATTAACTTATGCAAATCAACACGTGGAATTCTCAATACGTAATCCTCATCACTGCAACGTATTCGTGTTCGTATACGTAAATACATATTTTTTTTTATGGGGCTAAGGGGGCAAACGGGCAGGAGGCTCACCTGATGGAAAGTGATCACCGCCGCCCATGGACATCTGCAACACCGCAGGGCTTGCAGATGCGTTGCCGGCCTTTAAGGAAAGAATACGCTCTCTTCTTGAAGGTGGCCAAGTCGTAGCGGTTCGGAAAGACCGCCGGCGATAGCTGGTTCCACAGAGTGATTGTGCGGGGCAGAAAATGTCTTAAAAATCGCACTGTTGTGGAACGCTGGACATCGAGGTGGTGTGGATGGAATTTAATATTTTGGCGCGATGTCCGATGATGAAATTCAGCAGTCGGGATCAGTCCGAAAAATTCCTCGGAACACTCCCCGTGATAAATGCGGTAGAAGATGCAGAGTGATCCAACATCTCTACGCAGAGCTAAAGGATCAAGCCGATCGGAGAGAGCTTGATCGTCTATAACTCGAGCCGCCCTACGTTGAATGCGGTCAAATGGAAGTAGCTGGTACTGGGGAGCTCCCGCCCAAAGATGAGAACAGTACTCCATGTGAGGCCGAATTTGCGCCTTATAAAGAATAAGACGCTGACGCGACGTGAAGTACTGTCTCGCCTTGCTGAGCACACCAAGCTTCTTTGAGGCCAGTTTGGTCTTACCTTCCAATTGACCACGGAACTGTACGTTGCTCGAGATGTCGACACCAAGTATTCCAATACTGGCTGTAGGAGACAGAGGAGTGTCCTCAAATTGAGGAGCTACGACAAATGGCGACTTTTTAGCGGTTAACGCGCAAACTTGTGTCTTTTTGGGGTTAAATTGGACTAAGTTTAGTCGACCCCACTCCGAGACTTTGGTTAACAAAGATTCGACTTCAGACACAAGTTTGTTCCGGCTCTCGTCGACGTATTCCCGAGAAAGATTAGCGCGGCCAGTGTACAGGGCATCCACAGTGCTATCGTCTGCATAGCAATGAATGTTGCTGATTTGCAACATGTCATTGATATGTAGAAGACACAGAGTAGGAGCAGCCTTGTGGAACACCAGCATTGACATATTTAGGATCAGAGCAAGCATCGTCGACAACGACCTTGATGCTCCGATCTGCCAAGAAGCTGGTGATCCAGTTGCAAAATTTCTCGGGGAGCCCATAGGAAGGTAGCTTCGAAAGAAGCGCTTTGTGCCATAACCGATCAAAGGCCTTCGCTATGTCCAGACTGGCTGCAAGCTCCTCCCCCTTGGTCTCAACTGCTTCTGCCCATCTATGTGTCAGGTCAACTAGAAGATCACCGGCTGAGCGACCTCGACGGAAGCCGTACTGGCGGTCGCTGATCAGCCGGTGCTCTTCTAGGTACCGCAGGAGCTGGCAGTTGATAATGGACTCCATTATCTTAGAGAACAAGGAGGTAATGGCTATAGGCCTGTAATTGGACGGATCCGAGCGGTTGCCCTTTTTTGGGATCGGATGCACTAAAGCGGCCTTCCAGGATTTTGGGACTATGCCTAATGAATAGGAGTACCGGAAAAGACGCGTTAAAACCGGTGCCAACTCCGGAGCACATGTCTTCAACACGATCGGAGAGATGCCATCGAGCCCACTCGACTTATGAATGTCCAAGGAAAGAAGTGCTTTGCGAACTGCACTTTACCGGAACTGAACTTCCGGCATCGTAGTATCACACCGCGGGATTGTCGGTGGTGAGTTTCCTTGGTCATGTAAATATTACGTAAACCATTTCAATTGCCGTTAATAATTTTCTGCAGAATGGAATTTACAATGACCATATAAAGCGCTATATAAGTTGTATGATTTTTATAATAGATATTCTCACTTATTTTAGTAAAACTCTCAAGGCTAAGTAGCTATTTTAACCTAAAAGGTTAAAATATAAATAAACAAATTACTATATTTTAACGTTTAACTAAGAATTGCTAATGATCCGATAATTTCATAGGTACATTATTTAATTATAACCACTTAAGAGATAACTATACATAAATATTTTTTTTATTTTATTTATTTTATTTTATTTATAAGAGATAACTAAGTATATAAGCAAAAAATAGTTGCGCATTATACCTCTAAGGATGAGTCATGATTAAATAAATTTTTGCGCACAATCACAAGTGAAGTACGTGTTAGAGATATAGATTCTCTTAATTTTTCATAAAATAAACAAAATATTAAAGGTTGCAGTCTAACACTAATCTTAAATCTACCAAGAGCAAAAATATGTTATGCTTGACCCGGGCGATCGATACGTATTGTTTTAGATTTCAATGTTAAAATATCTTCTTTTAAAATATTTTCTGCTTCGATTAGCAATGTTTAATCTTAATTGTCATAAAGTTCATTAATTATTCTTTAAATTAAAAAAAAAGTATTAAAATTACTTTATTTTTATGATTGTATTTGAATAAGTACTTTCTTTAGGTGGTATTATAAGTCATATATACATATTTTTTTGGAAAGCTTGAAAGCATTTCATGGAAATTTATAACTTTATACACAGCGACCACCTTCGCAGAAAGAAATTCGATACAAGATATGTAAGAACAAGTATATGTTACCTCCGACCGTACACGTTAAGTTTATATCACAAATTAAGGACATAAAGTATCGTAAATTGCATTTAACCTATTGAACTATTAACCGACATATTATATGTATGTAGACCTTGACCTTCTATGATTTAGGATGAAGCATAAATGAATTGTATTCAGCCCTTTTTAACGTTCCACTGCAGAGCACGGGCCTTCCTTCAATACGAGGGGGATCAGGCCATCCACCATGCTGGCCAAGTGCGGGTTGGCGGACTTCACATGTCTTTTGAAAACTTGCTAGGTTCTCTCAGACATGCAGGTTTCCTCACGATGTTTTCCTTTACCGTTAAGACAAGTGGTAATCATGTTGGAAATGATTCGCACATGAAAATATCAGAGGTTCGAGACCAGGGATTTGAACTCGCTTCACTCGGTTTCCCAAGCGAGCGCGTTACCACTGGGCTACCACTGGGCTACCACTGCCTTTTATTACGGAACAAAAAATAAATTTCATTTCACCTCACTAGGAACGTAGGTATGTGTCGTGAGTTCGACATGAGCTCTACTAATATTAATTATAAATGGAATGGTATTTTTGTTCGTTTGTCTTTCTATCACAAAGCAATAAAGCATTGGATTTATGTGATTTTTTTGAATAGAAAGAATATCTAACTGGAAAGTTTACATTGCAAGCTGGAGGAAATTGAGTTTTTATTGTGATACAAAAATTATTACTGTATAGTGTATACTGCAAAAGAATCAGTCAGAATCGGACTGCTATTATAACTGCGAAAGTTTTTTTGTGAGGGTGTATATGTTAGTTCTTACTCCTTCTTGCTGAAACGGTGGTATTATATTATTTATAATAACATATTATATTTCAAAATTACTTACAAATTTCTGTAGTGTGGGTTTTTTGTTGTACCGCCCGCGTAGCCCACTCTAGTGCGCACGATGCCTAGAGTAGCGCCAAATAAGGAGTCGTTGGACCAAAAACACCCCATGCCAAATGTCGCCTTCTTCGTTGGTATATCCACATCGTGGAGTAAAGAACCCTGTATATAAAACGTAAAAAAGTAGTGCTTGGAAAATTATTTTCTACAGTAATATATACAGATACAGAGGTAAAGTTTGTAAGTTTGTACGTGGTAATTGAAATTTTAGAAACTATTGAATCACTTCTGAAAATTACTTCACTAATAGAAAGCCACATTACTGTTAGGTACTCTAGGTTATTTTTTATTAAGACAAAAATGTGTTTTTTTTTTAAATACACAATTACTTCACATGGCTGTTAAGTTACTTTATTGGCGTGCACTGTCTAAATATGTAGTTTGAAATTAAACAATAAAATGTATGACAAAAAGATATCTAGGGACGCACCCGAGCAAGGTAAGGGTAAGCCACTAACATAAAATATTACAATAGTAAATATATTTGTGTAAAATATAATGTCGTATAACTTTGAATTATTCCAACTTGCAGCTCAGCGGTTAAAGTCACGAGACTAATTATTTTCAATGAAAAAAAGATGCGAAACCAGTTTGATACCAAAATTTGGTCGGTGGCTCGCTGCGGTCTACCTGAAGATGGAATGCAGAAATATTGGAATTACGTTCTATATATTAATAAATAATAATATATATATCGATAACGTAATGATTAATTTATTATTTAATAATTTAGTACTCTTAATAATGAAACTCAAACATAAGACAATGAATGAATATACTACAAAACTAGCGGCTTACCCTCGCTTCGCTCGGGTTCGTCGCTACTCGCTAGGTACGTTTTAAATAGATATAAATAGTTATTAGCCAGCGTTTAACCATATAATTTTTTTTTCGTTAATTTTTCATTTTTTCTCTTTATTAAAACCTTCTGTGGACCTTAAGGAACATACGAAAAAAAATTAGCCGAATTGGCCCAGCCATTCTTGAGTTATGCGCTTACCAACATTCATTTTTATTTATATATATTAAACTTTTAAATAAGACCACTTTTATCTTAACTATGGTGTATTCGAACGACGACGCTATTATCGGATATCTATAGGTTAATTATTAATAAGATTACGCTACTGCGTTTTATTTATATCTAGACCTCTTAGTGAAATTATTATTTGGAAAACAAAAAGGGTCTAGTTCAATTACATATAAAGTTACAATTAGAGAGCGTGTGTTACTGATAACATTATCGTAAGCGCTCGTTATTATACTTTATAGTTTATGTAATAATGACTTTTAACTTTAATAGGATTAGCATATTTTAAGTCAATTTCTTCAAAAATGTTAAAATGGCCCCGAGCTTTTTATTTTAGTAGGACAGGTGGGGTAGGGGGTGGGGGGTTAGGATGTACGGGGTTAGGATGTACGGAACGCGTGCGAATTTTGGTATTTCCTTCGTATTATTAAAACAAATACACATTTGAAAATGTAAAGGTACATTTTCGACATAGAAAACGTATAGTTTTGTTATTATTAGAAACCTGACGAACTTCCTTGAATTATTTACGCCGCACTAAGGGTTTATTTTGTTTTTTAGAGATCATTGTGGATTTTTTTTTATCGAGGAAACTATAAGTAATCGTGTTTCTAAAATGTATGATTTATAGAATAAATCCTTAAATATCCTACGTATTAATTACATAATTAAAGTTTTAGTAATAACAATACAGCAAGGGATCAAACGAACGCAATTATTTCATAATTGCCTCGGCGCCCCCTTAATGGTCATATGTTTTTTCCCTGGACTATGAGTAAGAAAATCTAGACAATAGAAGAGTCGAATTAGGAATCTCCGTCCGGACTCATTATTTAATATTAACGGAAAATAGCGAATAGCGAAAAAGGCGTATCATATAGAATTTGAAAAAGAACTTGTGTAAAACTGTAATAAACTGATTCTTCATATTGTCTCACGAAGTTTTGTAACTAAACTTGTGGCTAATATAATGATCTTTTTGATATTTTTTAATAGTGATATGTAGAAAATATTCAATATGACCTAATTAATTAAAATACTATCAACTCCCACTACTCTTTCTTAATCTTTGATCATTTATAGTTCTATTTAGAATTTCTTCTTCTTTAAGTTATAGTCCGCTAACTTGAACTCACACCACTCGATTGAATTTTGTTCACAATGATAAAGCGGTAACCATGTATCTGTGTTCTACACACGTTTTGAAGCAATTTCATTCCCAATAGATAATATTGTTAGTAGTAATAAGTAAATGTTACAAAAAAAATTTTATTATTCAAAAAGAGAAAAGAAGGTTAATCAATTACATTCTAGGTTTATTCGTCAGAGTTCTTAAACTTTGGTCGTCGCGTTAGATGCGTTCAGTCTATTTCGGTCTGTGAAAATTGCACACTTCCCTTGAGGTACCGTTTGACAATTGACAATATCAGAGACACGAGTTACAATGTACTGTGCCTGAAAAACGCCATTCTTTTGCAGTCGAGATGAAAATATGATAAAATATCTAGAACACCTTCTAAGGCAGTAAACGTATATATCTTTAGAAATAATATGAAAAAGGTTAAATTGTATCTATTTTGTTTATAACGTTTTCACATCAGCACAGAATCTGTTTCTTTAAATTCAATAAATAAGATAATCACACTTTGAGGGGCATCATTATTCCCTCCACGACCGCGGACACGCCGGCGTTGCATTTAACAATAGATTTCTTAGAAATTTAATTAATTACTTAGAAATTTACCTGGAGGTGATAATAAACGTCAAATTAACTTTACCGAAAAAAAATGTTAGTATATACTTAAAATACATACATACTTTCCGGGAATATGATTAAGTCTGCCTGCGATAGAAAATAAAAGTGCAGATAAAAATATGAAAATTAAATAATAAGCGACCACTGTATGAATTTTGTTGTAATTTGACATAGTTATAATAATTATTTTATACTTGAATCAATTCACTCATCATCATCGTGCTGGAAATCAGATAGTTCCTACTTGGTATAAATTACATATGGCATTTTTTTCAATTTTTATGTCTCTATTTGTGGTTACTTATTACATACAAACCAGGTGAATTAGTATTTGTAATAATTTTTTCCTTATAATGTAAAATTACAGTGTTAGAGGTATTCGCAAACCAGGTAACATTTATAATAAAAAAAACCCGAAGATTTAAAATATTTAAATAACCATAACATATTGCAAGATTCCTAATTAGGTATGAAAAATAAATTCTGTCTAGTAAAAGTAGTAAATATAATAATATACTTAATTTAATATTTGACTATATAGTAATTAATTGTAGGCAAATGAATTAAATATTATAAGTATCTTTATACAACATTGTTAATAGATTTTGTTTAAGTTTGCCAATTTGAACGAGATGCGCCGGCATCTGATCATGAAAATCAATCAACATTGCGGTAGTAAATTGGCTTCTATCAATGAAATTGAGATGTCATTACAACTCATCTAATTGCTGAGACCTTACTAATGTAACATTTAGTTATCTAAAAAACTTACAGAAGTGCTTTATATTGTTCTGTATTTACTTCTAAATGAATATTATAAGTATTTAATCTATACCATATGAAGATTTAACTTAATGAATGAAATAGTTTTCATATTGTGCTTAATTTAAATTATAAACATGTTCCGTATAGGTATGGCTCTATCACATATCAGATGATCACAGCGATGATAACTTTTTTATAAGGGTAGCCGACAAATCAAAATAACCAGCAAATAATAATGACCACTCGACCGATTTTTGCATTTTGTTGTGTGTCACCAGTCAGTAGAGACCACTGAGACTATCCTTACTTATACACTTAGCATTTACATTGGTATTATAGTGCACAACTCCCCATTGTCATAGACAGATTGAAAGGTGACAATTTGGCAATCAGGTGTAGTTCTATAAAAGCGACACCATCATATTCTTAATAACAAATCTTGACGGATTGAATCTTGATGGTAAATCCTAAAATTTATCCACCAGATCCACAACTCGAACAAAGGGCCTTGAACCCACGACCGTATAAAGCTAGCAGAAAAACAAGACAAACAACTAACAGTTCTTTCAATGACTAATTTATTGTCAAAATCATTAACAAAAATCTAAGAAATAAATTAATTTGTGTTTGGGAAAACCTGACATTAACTAAAGATAATCGTTAACTAATGTATCTTACGTTTTACTTCTTTGAACTCACTATCTAAATGTTAGAAAGCATATATTTCTTTTGAATTATAAACTTTTGATATATGTAATAAATGTAAAATGTGCTTGGTAATGATATCGGATGCATTTTTACTTAGAAGTCAATATTATGATGCTCAACTATTTCAATATATATATACATTAAAACGATGTTATTCTCTAATTGAAAAAAATAGTTTAAAAATAAGAATAGGTAATAAATAGTTTGAATAGAAAACAATTAAAGAACAAAAATGATGTTTTCCAAGTCTTAAAGAAAATGTTACATATATGAGGAGAACACCTAATATAGTGAATAAATCACATACATATTTCTTTAGCCTAGCGGAAAATGCATGAGGAGTCCATAAGCACCTCTGCATGTACCGCAAGGAAAAGAGATTAAAAAATGTGCAATATGTTGCCTATTTAATTTTTCATCTGATACAATTGTTCAGTCACGGATACGAAACGCGCGAGCGTCAATTATATAAATGAGAATTTTCAAATAATATGACGCTTTGACTACCTTAAAATTAATAGCACTCTCTAAATCCGCGAAAAAATCTGACAAGATAGTTTTATTTAAAATGTTAAATATTCGTGTGAATCTAATAAAGTATTAAGCAATTTCAAATCAAAACACTTCAAAACTCGAAAACTCAAACTCGCCAAAACTCGAAGTTTTTACTAGTAGCCAAACAAGAAATCCGCTCTCCACTTCCTGGCTCTAAAAAGCTCTTTAAAGTTTTAAATCTACATAGAAGTAGGCTTAAGTCGACTTCCAAGATTTGATTAAATAGTTATTTACAGGTCATAGAAGCGTATTTAAAAAGGTGACAGTATTTACCACTGATCAAGTTTCGAGTTTATCGTCCTACTTTCTTTCGCAAAAACTTCCATTATCATCAATCTAAAAATGCCAATTTACATTTCATAAAAATTATGTCCATGTTTACATTCACGATTATTACTTTACTAATAATCATTTACAGTAGGTAAGTTATTTATTTCGTATTAGGACTCATAAGTTATTAGTAAAATCGTATTATAAAATAAAAATTTAGAAATATTAATTAAATCTTCAGAAATGTACTTTGTACCTCTATATATTCTGTGAAACCCGATAGCTCATATTTTACACCTTATTATTAAATTTAAAATTAATTACGCACAATATGTATGTGCGTATAATTCTCTAAATTATGCCTACTCAGAACAATAACAATGAAAAAAATATTTTTTATACTTAATTACTGAGTTATTCCTCGAAAAAATACAAATAAATTAACTCAGAATAACTACGATAAATAATTAACAAAAAAACAATAAATAACTAACAAATTATTTTGATTTATCATGATTAAGGTTGTAAATACTCACGTTGGCCGGTGGTTTCATGGTGAAAAATCTTCTTATAAAACAAAACATGCACGAGAAGGGGAACGAGTAAGTGTTGATTTTCCGGGATTATCGGGTTTTATTCGCGTGATGCGCACGTGGAGTGAAGCCGAGACGCGTCTAATCGGTGTGGCGGTCCGGCGAGCACTGCCAAGCACTGCCAAATCCAATGTCACTGTAACCGTAATTTTCTGATATGCCTCACAGGCCACAACGTGGTGTTTCACAAGACATACAGACACCGCGTCTGTACAGATATCAGACATTGGCAATGAAAACTGATAATAGATTTTCGAGCTTTCGAATTTAAGCTCTAGGTCGAGAATGTTAAACAGGAAGACATTCAAGACTAGCCAGCTGAAAATATAGGTACTAAATTAAGCCATGGACGTTTAAAAATCGTGACCCAATAATACACATACACCGCAAATTATTTTAATTTTCTTTAGAATAAATGATATTAGGCGTTAATATCGACTCTACATGTAGAGATAGAATTTCTCTTACTGTCAATCGTCATGCATTCGTAATATTGATTACGTTTACTAATAAGACAATCACATTTCAGTCAGTGTCATGCATATTGCAGTTACAATTGGCAGGTGATATTTTATAACGCAATATATTCGAATATTGCATCGCATGCATGAGGATTCATTAGGTTTATTAATATCTCCATATTAATCTTGATTAATCTGATTTGATCTTCATTATCTATACATATAATAAAATTGTAACTAAGCCGTCACTGTAATTTAAATATTTTTTGGAAAATCTTATTGAAATAAACATTATTATCGATACACAGGCCGAATCTATAGTTTTTAAGCCGAATCTGTAGTCTGTCTGTCTGTCTGTTACCGCATCACAGAAAAACCAATGGAGGGATTTTGATGAAATTTGGTATGGTGATATCTTTTACCTCGGTCAACATATAGGATATTTTTTACCGTGGGAAAATGTCTCATTTCCGAGAAAAAATAAAAAAACTGCATTGTAAGAATATAATAATATGTAAAACCTAAGAATTTGGTTTTTGGTCATCTGAACGCGGGCGGAGCCACGGGCAATGCTAGTGATACTATAAAGTTCAATAAACTTAATGAATGTGGACACACAAACATCCATAACTTATACCTTCACCTTGATTAGTATGTACCCTAATGACGTAAGTTGCAGTAGAACCGGATCGATCGACTCTACCTTTTACATAACCATCAGAGTTTTAACCTAAAGATGAAAAAATATGAATAATAATTAAAAATTTCGTTAAAATTAAAAGTCTGTACTATAATATAATTTCGATATCCATTCATTATACGAGTATATACATACATTTTTTTTATTATCTTAGTAACCTTCATTTGGCTAAATATTATTTCATTCAACAGATTTAGCAGATTACTAAATAGCACAAGGATAATATATGTATTATTTTGTTTTCATGCAATTTTCCTTGAGGGTTACACAAGAACTCGTGGCCGTGTTGATATCATTTCGTTCTTCTCTTTCCGCCAATGTAGAGACGATGAGTTAACGTTTGTCGTTTTGTCAGAATGTTTAGGTTTGGTTTTTTTAAATATACTTACGACGTCTAAGAATTGGATCGTGTTTTTTTAAATTGACTGTATATGACTTGATTACACCTATTAAGTACATTTTTTTTAATATATACTCATGTGACGTACCCTAGCTTGCTTCCCATTACAAGCTTTCATCCCAATTTTCACCTCCTCAAGGGATGACTTCCGGGATAAAAAGTATCCTATGTCCTTCCCAGGATCTCAAACTATCTTCTTACCAAATTTCATCTAAATCGGTTCGGTAGATCCAGAGATTACCCTTTACAACCTCACAAAATTTGCCTTTTTATAATATTAGTATAGATATATCGACCCATTTGAGATGGCCGAGAAATGAATGGCTTAATTTAGTAAAACAAAAATTACTCCATATATTTGTTGTCCATGAGGTGTAGTGTAAGAAGGTTCTGATCAAATTTTAATGTTTTTAAAACTTTCAATAATTAAAAATTCATGTAATATAGAATACACATAGTATACATATATGTTTGTATATATTATTTTACATTACATTTTGTCATCTCGCCTCATTTTTATTATGTACTTGACTTCATACATAAAGTTTGCTTTATTTTTGACCATTTCTTTTGTCTAACAAGTTAAACAAAAATAATTATTATATGACAAATACAATGTTGTTAATAGTTAGATCATAAAATAAAAGTAAACCAAGTGATTATTTTTATCAATGTATTTATATTACTTTTAGAACATCACGACCTATTCGTTACAAAAATATCATAGACTAGCGACTCACCTCGCTTCGTTTAGGTTCGTCCCTAGCTTGCTTCCTAACACAAACTTTCATCCCCATTTTCACCCCCTTAAGGGATGATTTCCGGGATAAAAGTATCCTATGTCCTTCCTAGGGTCTCAAACTATCTTCTTACCTTTCATCTAAATCGGTTCAGTAGATCCAGAGATTAACCTTTACAACCTCACAAACTTTACCTCTTGGCTCTTTATAATATTAGTATATATAAATGTTTAAAATTGTCTATAAACTGTCATGAAAAGGGACCGATTAGCCACCATTACTATAATAAAAATCAAACGCTGTTCGTTGATAAGCGCATAACTTGATAACGGCTGAACCGATTTAGTTATATTTTTTTTAAATCTTGGTAATAAACACGATAAGCTTTTTGGGGAGTGGAAAAGAAAATTGGAAAGGAGAAAAAAGGGAGAAAATGAAAGCTTTTTCTCTATAAAATTTTAGCTTAGCCTCAAAGAATATAAATGAAATTGCAATACAAACAGCACAGAAATTAAATAAAACTCAATATTTAAAACAACTGATTTATTGTAATAATTAAGTAAATTAGGAATCATCTTACAATATAAACACTACTGTTCAAAAGTCAGTCACTAAGTTCGATATATTTTTAAAAGTAATAAAATGTAGAGTAAAACATTATAACATATGAGTAAAAAAAGTAAAATATACAACAGATTGAGCTGCATTTAAATGTTTTTTTTTTTAATAAATTTGTACTGACAGCAGTTATATTGAAGCAGTAGTGTTACGGAATATATAAGTACAATCATTAGAGAATTATAATAAATCACATTAATATTTCTTAATGACCCTACAATTACAATACGCAATAATTTACGAATAAATCTGTTCTACATCGAATTGGATACAATGTTACCCTTACAACCTCATTCATATTATAAAAACAAATATTTTTGGAATTTAAATAGATACGAGTAAGATATGTATACAGCCTTATTTTATAAATGAAATAGTCTTCGTAAAGTGCAATTTTGACAGATGTTTATTAATTATTTACTGTGAAGATAGCTCGATAAGTAACAGATAATATAATTAAGATTTTGTGCTTCAATACAATACAGTTATGTTAAAAGTGATATACTCGTATGTAATAATTAGGCTTTGTGCTATCTGAAATAATTACACTTTATAAAGTCTTAGGATTTAATTATTATTACAATAATTTAGTGCCAAATAAATTACTTTGGGATGTAATAGTAATGTTGCCAGATTTGATAATAGTAGGATAATAATATATTCAGACATTCACAAAACAATAAATTGTAAAAATATTAATCATATGGTTTTAAGCGGTTAAATATTATTTCTGGCAATACTATACATTATTCATGAACAAATTGTACCGTTGCTTGAAATATATAAATTATTCCGAATCCAGCGCAACAGGCAAGATTCTAGATGGCAAGTCTATTTTCAAATTTAGGAATTCAAATTTATTAATATAGACATCAATTTTCAAAAAATATACGTCTCACGCCGCGATAGGTAGAGTGTACTTAAGTTCCTAACTAATTAAAATCACGTTTCATTTATTTACATTGAACCTAATGCGTTTATAAATAGGAATGATTTTTGAGTATACAAGTAATGATTACAATACCAACGATAAACATTTGAATACAAAACTACGTATCGACATAACTAATACGGTTCATAGGATTATATAACATTTTAAGGCAAGACTAACAAGAGGCACTCGTTAAGGATACTTAATATGAATTTGTTACAGTAAAATATATTTAATTTCGATGTAAGCCATTGAAATATATGAATAAAATCAGTAATACGTTTTTTCAATGGCTCATTTCTAAAGGACATTGTTCTAAAATAATTTAGCTTAAACTATTATTAAACATTTATAAACATCTAAGATATAAACATCCAAAGAGATAAGAAATATACGAAAGGCATAATAGTGTTAAATTTTCGAACTATCTAACTGGGGTTCATACATTTAAAAATACTCTTTAAATATGGAGGTCAATTAGATGTCGAAACTTTCACTTCGTTAAAGAGGAATTAAAACAGTAAAGGTATAACTAAGTCGTATTATTTCCTACTTTTACGCACAACGCGTTCAATAAATCGATATAAAAAAAATGCGATTCTTGTAATATAATTGATTAATGATTTTATAATATTAATGATTTGAATATAAAAAAAATTCTTCGAATATATCACAAAATGTCTGTAAAATGCTTTCGTAAAATAATACTGTAAGAAACAAAAACAACCAAAATATTTTGTGCTTAGATATCTATAAGGCCATTTTATATTGCTTTGCTTGTTCCGCGTCTCTAGTTATGTTTTGCGACTTTATATTTAAGTACTTTTTAAGTACCTGGAACTAATTATACTACAATAATAATATATTCTAAACTAGTGACTATGATATGGACGAATGAATTACTAATGGATGGGGATTAACCGCTACGATAAATATGTTTCAAAAAGCTTATTTACATAAATATATTTGTAACGTGTTTAATGGAATGTCTAGCTGCCATTACGAGATTACCACAGATTATGAACACTGGATTTTTTATGATGGTTGCTATTTAAATTTCAAGGTTAATATTATTGTTCCATAAAATTGTTGATTGCATGTAAGATTTTAGATAAAACTATCTTTTCGGATATTTTCGCTTAGTTTTTTTTTGTTTAGAATTAAAATTAACAAATATTGTAAGGTATTATAGTGCCTTTTTGTATTTTTGAAATCATATTGTTTTGTGGGTAGGCACTGTATTTAACAATTACATACCTTTGAGACGTCTAAAACTTTAGTCTCTCCCGTCACCATGATCGCCGTAAAGCATTCGAACTGTCGGGAACCAAAAATAAAAATAGATCCGCAAAAAAAAAACGAAAAGATAGTTTTATTTAACATGTCAAATATTCGCGTAAATCTATGAAAGTAATAGCATATAAGATTATAAAATTTAATTGAAACATAGAAAAATTGGCACACGCAGAGTATTCAGCAGTAAATGAATGTACAAATTATAAATAATTTCTACAGATTAAAAATAGTTACAATATTTAGAAAATGGAACACATACACATTACAAGTATACAATTTGTTATTATTGGAGAACAAAATGCCTACTTAATGATATAAAAATGAACTTATAAAATTTTAAAAACGCTGAAAAATCTTTTAGAATATACTACTACTACTTACTTTATTAGTGGGATTTCTAGTACAACATAAAGTTCTGGTGTTTTTTAAATAATTATATGAGATAAAATTTAGGCCAAATTGATGATCACTATAATGTCTCAAATTTATCGCCATTTGTTGTTCTAGATATTAATTTGCTAAACTATTTGTATATTATCAAAGTTAAAAAAACATGGAAGAAAATTTTGCATACGCATATAAATATAAACCATAGAAAAGCCATGGCCCCCCTCATTCTATTCAACTATCAGCTGCTTATAAAACGTGTGACATGTAAGCAAATATTGAAAAGAATCTAACTTTTTAAAATTTTCACAATGAGAATAATAAAAATGACATGACTTAATTTCAACAAACAAACAATTTTTAGATTGTGGATTCGAAATCGCAATATTTGCTTTCATATCTCATAAAATAGTAAATCAGCATATTCTCTCACATATTCCAGTCTTTAAAAATTTACATGTAAGTATGTATAATGCGAATAATTTATATTAAAATTATATTGAACTATTAAAAAAATATCTATTACATTTAAATATTTAATTATAAAGTTATATGTCAATTGATAGTAAAATGCTGCAACGTAATTGCCTTCGAATGAAACAGAAATATTATTGTGATGCCCTTTCGGCGCGCTCGGTACATATTGCACTACTAAGCTTTATATAAAAAATTGTTTTAAAATGATATTTTTAGTTTTTAATACGTAGATGTAATTTTCTTTAATTTGTTTTCTGTTTCTGTACCTAAATATATAAAATAAAAATAAATAAAATATGTATGCACGTCCATACGGTTGGGTTAGTATTAGAAATTATAACTGTTTAAGATGCTATACATGTCGTCTATTTAATGTAATTAATCTATATAATTACAAGTTATATGCGTAAAATTTTGAACGATTATTAAATTTTGAAATGCGATCTAAAACTTTTTAATTATAAAAAAAAAGTTAAAGATAAAATATAAAGAAATAGAAATTGCCAAATTATTTTAAGGAGAAATAATTGCATTTCAGTAAAAAGCTATTAGGTAATTTTTAGAATTCGATCTGTTTATATAATGGCAATACAAAACAGTTTAAGTATTCGTACAATTTTTGTTTTTATTTATTCGATTTTTTCACCATGATAAGTAAGAAGTATAGTGGATATAAAACACGAATGGCAGATTTAGAAAGAAGGAAATGTTTTAGAAAACCATCGAAGTATTATATAAAAATAATACAATAACATAAAACTATCTACAACAATAGCAACCATATATTCGTCTACATAACCCTTGAGCTCTCACAAACTATCACACGTCCGTAGCGACTGGCAAGCCCTTGCTTCGTGAGCAAAAATGGCAATAATCATTCCATTATAATTAAAAACAATATATTTGCGAACAATTAATATAATACACCAAACATCAATTACAAGAATTTAATAAAAATAAATTATTTTGGAAAATATGAATTCGCAAATACATAGTATATTCAACAATTTCCTTTTCCTATTAAGACGAATCCAGAATAAATAACTTTTTGGAATGGCGATCAAACTCCGTTGCTCTAGTGATGGGTTTACATTATAATACAGCACCGGCGTGATTTGGTGTCACCGACGACATCACTAGTGTTTCCTGAGAACCTTGGAACTGTTGTATTAGTGGTTATTGGACTTATCTGTATTTGGGGGTCCTGTTTTGGTATCTCGGGAATGGAATTTAGGCTGTGATTCGTCGTAGAGTTGACACTGCTTTCGACGGGACTTCCGTTTGTCCTAATCTGTGCCCTTTGCTTCTTCAAATCCGCTAACGTCCCTGTAATATTTGAAATTATCATGAGCGGTTTCACAAAGTTTCGTCGGTTTAGTTTAGTGATTTCCATCGTGCACTTTTTTCATGCTGTTCATATCTTAATCGTATGTGCAATATTTTTTTGATTATTTGTAAATGCGCTGCTCGTTTATTAGTCGATACGATACGATACTGGCAACAAAATGGTATAATTTGTAAAAAACTGTGGCATTATAAGTATAGTTCTTACGAGATAAGCGTAACTGTGAAGGAATGTGATGTTTCTTAATTGGTCATACTTTCACGTGCATACACTATACATTACTCATATAAGAGCAATTCTACGATTTACGAAAGCATAACATCAACGTCGAGTGTGATGTAACTTGTATAATCTGTTAATTTTAAATATACACATATGTATATATTTAACTTGTGCTATATCTACTTTCTACAACACATGGAAATAGGAAAAAGAAATTAAAGGCCGTGTGCAGTGACAAAGATAAGATAGTATGAAAGAGACTCATGCATCTAAATACAAAAACGGCACACAATCCAAACGCATCCCAACACTACAAGTATAATCCAGTTATTATATTTAGTTTCGATGCATTCAATTATGATTGTTAAATTAGATGTAAATCAATTATTATTTTTTAAATTACGAGCAACTAATAACCATGAAAATAATGAAATAACCAGATTATTGTAATAAGAAACAATACAACTGACACAACCATGCAAAAACCACTACGACCGATATAACCGCTTGCCTCAATATGCATCCTCGTTCCTTATGGCTCGTCCACTTCCAAAAATTTCAATATAAACCATCACTGTGCATTAGATTTACAGTATACATTGTTAACTTGTGCCTTACATGTATGTTATAGTGCTTTAAGTGAAATGGAGATCTTAAAGGATGCATATAATTACCTGCGTTAATCATGACGGTGACATGAACATTGATTTTACCATTATTGTCTGTGGTGTAGGTAGTTCCGCCTTCGGCGATCGCGATTGGGTTTTGGTTCATTACAACCTCTTTCATACCATCTATTGCATCTTCGGTTTTGAACGCTTCGTTGTCTTGACCTTCTGGTGCTTTCCTAACGCCATTCGGTAATCTGTCGAAGTGCTTCGTTTCGTTTGGAACTTCACGTATAGAGCTGGGCGAGTAGTGCGAAGCGGCATTCACTCCGAACAGGGGATTTGTTATTTTTGGTTGGTTATATGTTATGTTGTCGTTCGAATCGATAGCGTCGCCGATTCTTTGCGAGCTTTTCTGGTTATACGAATGTTTTGGGACCGCGTAGTCCACGTTCCCCGACTCATAGCTTTGGTTGGATGCCGTTGAGCTTATTGAGAGGCGAGTGTGTGATAGATCGGCTGATATGTTGGTTGTATTCTGGTCATTTTCCACGCCGTTCGTGAGCCCCTGAAATATATAAAACATATATTTATGAATAATTATCTATTATACAATATGGTTGTCATTAATATAATGATATCTTTTACAATAAATAAACAATACGCATAAGTTAAGGCCATGTAAGTAATTACTCTAATTTGAAATAAGATGTACAAGATTATTATATGTACATAGTAAATTAATCTTAAATGTGGAATGAATCTTTGGTTCGAAGCTCCCGGATTTGATTACCGCACATGTAATATATATCCATGTAAATAATTATATTGTGAATGCAATCTTGTTCAGGCTTATATCACAATGTCACGTTAACTAAAAGTCATAAGATTTTTTTATAATCGTGTCATAAGCCTGGCTATTTATTGATATTATTAGAGTTTATTTTTGCAATAAATTACTAAAGAACTATTATTATAATATAGGGTACAACGTGTGAATTAATTTCATTAAATTGTAAATTTTTTTTAATAGAATAGCAATATAATTGTAATTAAATATCAGTATCAATATTTACATTTTGTAAAGCCTGAAATATCTGCTATATTCAGTATACTTGAAACGACCATTTATATTTCAAGATATGCTCTGTAAATTTTATTACACTTAGCATAGAAGTAATTTACTAAAAAAAAAATAGAATAAATGCCAAATTTATATTCTGTACCATCTATGAGTATTACGTAAAATCAACTTAATTTAATTTAGATTAAGTCTATTGCAGTAATTGATTAATGCTATTTTAGCAATATATACTAGCTGTACAATCTAAGTTTAGTTTAAAACGTAAGTTTTAATACGATAAAATTACTTCTTAATAAAAAAAAACTATGAAGTATTAAAATAAAAATATATATCTTGAAAATCAACATTGGCAAAAATACCGCGTAACGTGTTTTCAAATTCTTCCTTTTTCAAGTCTGTTAAATTACTTTAAATAAACATACCGTAAAATATTGAATCTTAGTTTATTTTCATGACAATACAATATACGGTACCTATAATACATACATTATAGAAAAATCCTAAACAAATGAGTTTTTAATAAATCAAATTGTTGTTATTAAATTTGCGACACAGTTTCTTAACTTCTGCAATTATTATCGTATATATATATATATATACTGAAATTTCAATAAATATATAGAAATAGTTTTATATCTATAATCTATATAAATAAAAATGAATCACCGAATGTATGTACGCGCATAACTTCGGATCGACTACACCAAATTGGATAATTATTATTTTTTAAGTTTGTTGTCAGGAAATTTTGTATAGAAGAAAATTACAAGATTCTTTTTTACTAAAATAAGTTTTTTTTTAAATCTCATGATATGAAAAGTGAGTAAGTGAAATAATTTTTATCCCGAAAATCATCCCTTAAGGGGGTGAGAATGGGGATGAAAGTTTGTATGGAGAAGCAAGCTAGGGAGGAACCCGAGTGAAGCGACGGTGAGTCACTAGTATATGATATATTTTTCGAACTAAATTTTGTTACAAGGTCAGTTCGAGAAGTATTTTGTATGTAACTCAATAACTTCACCACAAAAATATTATAGGACAATGTACCAAAGTAAACCAATATAATATCTATTTTAAGCAATCCTAAGTTCTAAATAATAGTGAATAGCATTTTCTCGAACTTTTTCCCTTGCAATATAGAAGAAATATAGTGTTAGTGACTTTATGTTAAAATATATTGTGCATTTGAAGAAATAAAAAAAGAATTTTATTTCTTAAATCCATCAACATATCTTAAATCAATACAAATGGAAGGATTATGTTCAAAAAAGGATATTTAAAATTAATAAAACATCTATAGATAGACGTGATTTTTTATAGAGATAGTTTTTAGTTTAGAGAATAAGGTTTTTTTTTGTCTACATAGATACATTTAGTTCACTTTTCCTATAAATATTAAAATATTATGAAAAGTCATGCGAGGGCTAATGGTATGAGCCGAGTGAGAGCGTATCACAAGTATCTAATAACTTAATACAATACATGCTTTTAGTCTGTATAAGAATTTAACAATATATCGTTATTTAGCCTTGGATCTGTTGGTAGAGAATGCTCAGATTAGGCCTGCTATTTCAACAATCGTAAATGTAATCTACTCTGAACTTGCAATCGATGCTAATCAGTGAAAAAAAAACTGTTTTTCAAACCATTACAAGTTTAAGCCGTAGAACAGATTTCGATGAAATTTGACTAGGACTTATATCTCATCCCCGCCCTTCTATTATAGGGGTGTAGCCGTGGGCAAGTTCTAGTAGTACATATATAAAAAAAGGGTAAACGTACCCGATACCGTAGACCTAACACCTGCGGCTCCTTGCGCATGCGGTGCAGATTGTCATTTGTCAAAAACATAATATCCAGTGACATTTTCGTAAGTCATAGGCACAATTCAACAAACATCACCACCACTGAACCACGAAGCACTGATAATTGTAATTTGAGTGTAATTTGCAAATTAGCAAACTTTTGTACATCGTAATGCATTATCAGAATAAGATAGTCGAGATATACTGCGTGCGCGGGAGACCCGCACAGACTGCGCATGCGTTCACGTTGCGTGAAGCCGTCCGCGACGAGGGAAATCGCAGGAAAACTTTACTATGTGCGGTGTCGTCAATCAATGCGTGAAACAGATGACTGACGTGATTGTTTCAGCTGAATTAATACAACTATCGCTGTCAAATTCCATATCAATGCATGCATAAAAAACCATTTTTTACGAGTATAATTGTACGTACGTTTTAAACTAAAATGGATATAGCATGTTATCCTTAAGAGATAGACAAATGCCATCGTGGACTTATTTGTAGACCTATATAAGATACACCATTCCACCATACATAATTCTGTTATATCTCAAAAGGTTTAGGCAGCGTTTTCGTTGAAAGCCTCTAGACGGCTTATTTTTTTCCGACACCTCCAACAAAAATCGTTATAAGCCAATGTATACAAAAACTTAACAAATTATATACTAAAATCTTTCTCGAGAACCACTCTATCCATTGGTGAAAACAGCATGAAAATCGATGCAGTAGTTTTTGAGTTTATCGCGAACAGACAGCCAGACAGACGCGGCGGAGGACTTTGTTTTATAATATGTAGTGAATAACGATGTGTATTTAATACGGTAATATTTTTTTATTATTTAAGTATTTACTTTGTTAGCAATTATTGCAATTTGAGTAAATTTATTACCGTATGTTTTCAGTGTTCGTGTCAATAACTTCGAACACCTGCATGGTCGTCAAGGTTTTAGACAGGCGTTGCGCTCATAGTAATTAAGTGCTATTCAGGTCGCTGTCGTGGACCAGGTATACAGTGCACATGTGAACACATACTTGGAGTATTTTCCATGTATGGAAACCTAATAACCTGCCTTCAAAACCTTGGGAGGGTCTTATTTACCTACATATACCTTACTATTTACTAAAGTGTAATAGTAGTAAATATAACTATGTATTATAAAAGTGATCCCGAAAATATCAGGTAGATACAACTCATAAATATTGATTTTATTTATTACTTATTACTCCCTAGGTACGTATTGACCGTTAGTATAGATTTCTCAGAGATGATATATTTTCCCGCAGTAAAACGTATCCTACATGTTGACTCGAATAACCAGCTAACATCATACCAAATTTTATCAAAATCTGTTCCCAGACAGACAGAGAAAAATTTTAAAACTATAGATTCGACCTGTGTATCGATAATAATGACTATTTTAATAAGATTTTTCAAAAAAAATAATTAATGTACTACAAATTAGACACAGAATTTTATTATAATTTTAAATTAAAACTGAAGAATAAGAAAAATATGGTTATTAGCAGCAGGATACGATTTAAACCTTGTTTACATAACATTTTAGTCATAAAAAGAGAAAGATCAAAGAGAAACAATGTTATACAACGCATCATACATATTTAGGTTAGTAATATATTTAATATAGAACTACGTATGTATATAATGTTATATTGTAAATATTGTTTGAACGGATATGAGCCAATCTAACACTAGATGTAATAAAAAATAATACCTATTACGTTTCTTTTATAAGAATCTTGCACAAGTTAATTGTAGATCTTAATTATATGCGATATATGCGATCAAGAAGCCAGATTTAAAAGTGCAATTAGATTATTAATTTTTCATTCGGATGTTTCATTACCAGTATTTGTAATATGTCGTAAAGAAAATATGTCATTTATACATATAATAAAATTGTAACTAAGCTGAATCTGCACATCAAATATTTTTTTTGAAAAACTCTTTTAAATAAACATTATTATTGATACAGAATCTAGTTTTTAGAATTTTTGTCTGTATGTCTGTAACCGCATCACAGAAAAACCACTGGAGGGATTTTGATGAAATTTGGTATGGTGATATCTTTTACCGCGGTCAACATATAGTATATTTTTACCGCGGGAAGATATCTCATTTCTTAGAAAAAATACAAAAACTGCAGTGTAAGAGTACTGATATGTAAAACCTAAGAATTTGATTTTTGGTCAACTGAACGCGGGCGGAGCCGCGGGCAATGCTAGTTGTATTATATAGCATAGTAGATAAATATGGGTAGAGCGTACAATTAATTTTATCTAAGTATGTCTAATTAGTATCGGCCCGCGAATGTAGAGAAAGTACCAGGAGCATAAAAAACAACCTACATTATTAAAGCACATATTGTTACGGATATCCCATTTATTCAATGAAATAAATATTAGCATTTTTGATTGATTGTACTGTGTACAAGTGAAAAAAAAACGAGACTTCACTTTTCATACATTCGTGTCTACTTGGGTTACTTGAGATTCATTCGTTATCGGCATTTATAACTAGTTAGCCTAGATATAAAAAGTAATAATAATACTCTCAAGAACAAAGCAAATGAGTAATAACAGTAATTTTCACAATATCTAGAATAGAACCGAGCTATATAAAAACTACGTCATCAGTGCAGCTGTAATTAAGTGCAGTCGGGGCGCCGCACATACTTTCTGCCAATTAATTTTAAACTAGATCTCAATATTTGCCGGCGCAAATCCGCTCAAATTACTAACCAAACGGAAAAATATGAAATTAAATTATTATCAATAATTAACTAAACTCTTTTACATACTTCGTTACATCCTTATACTGTGTGTATAACAACAAACATAAATTAATGAATATGTATAAAATACATTGTTTAACAAATAACAGCACAGAAATATTAAACACAATATTTTGATCTAGTGCCTAGCATGAACGGCTACAGATCAAGTGGTTCTGGGTTCGAATCGGGTTCGAACCAAAGCTCTAGTAAATCTTGATATCTTCAATATTTGAGGTAGGTACTCTTCTTTCATGTCCCGTTTATTTGTAGTAGTCTGGTTACAAAGTGCTTTGACATTATTCTCATTTTAGAATTTTCATCATTGAAAACTCAATATAGGCACATTTTTCATGGCGATTTTATGGTACACATTTTTTTATGAAAAAAAAACTCTAACCCTTGTCAATTCGGAATTTTTAAAAAAATATTTAGGCCGCTTAACTAACTTTTAAATAAAAGTAAATAAAAAAATGCGTGTGTGTGCAATTCACACATGGTAGAAGTGAAACTTCAGAAAAGTTACCCACGAGAGAATGACATGAATATAGAGTATCGGGAGTAAGATAATTATACGTTTTTTTAGTAACATTTTTACCAAGTTTAAAAGTTATTTCACATTTTATTTGACATAAATATACATTCCATATTATTCAGTAATTAATCTTATTATTTTTCACTTCCTGTGTAATGTATTCTAACTCAAATAATTAAATAAGTCATATTACAATCATATATTTATAGAATATCGTATACGGAAAGAATATAATATTATGTATTTATCAGACAATAACAACGATTACCATACAGCAACATGGCAATCTCATTCTCTCGCCAGCTTAATCCTATATATTTATGTATTTGACTATTTTTAGTGTCGCATTTCCGTTTCATCGAGTTTCAAATCACAACGATTCTAAAGAAGTTTCACTTCAAAAATGCTTTGTGATGCAATTACGCTACGTTAGATAGTTGCTGTTCAGTAGTCAGTATCTAATTAATTTTCCCTTTTACGCTATGTAACTTTTTCCTAATAACTATTTATTTACATGATATTATCAGTTTCAGGTTAGATTTTTTTTATTGGCATTAATTTAAACATTTAGATAATAAAGATTGTATCATTTTTGACTGGGATTCAAATGTATTGCAAATGACATTATTTTTTTACTTGATAATAAAAAAATAATTTAGCTAAATCTACAATCATTTCAGAAAGAATCTAAGGCCTACGAAGAATTATTAAAGTACCTGAGGCCTACGAAGAACTAGCAAAATAAAATTAGCGATAATATTCATCTTTATAGTTAACTAGCAAAATCCGCGGCTTCGCTCGCACTAAAACTACAAAAGTCTCTAAAAGGATAGTTTCATACAAACTTTCACTCCCTGTTTTACCCCCTTATAGGATGAATTGCGAAAAATGCTAAAACACGTATTTATTTAATTTTAATGAAGAGCATTACTACCAAGTTTCAAGTAATTCTAAACATAAATATTTTTTGGATTGTATTATATCGTGCTTTCCCGTAGGAATTAGATACTCTCCCGCGGTAAAAAGTAGCCTATGTCACTCTCCAGCCCTCCAACTATTTTCAAACAAAAAATCACGTCAATCGGTCATTCCGTTTTGACGTGAAAGAAGGACAAACAAACAAACACACTTTCACATTTATAATATTAGTATGGATAGTATGGATATACCTAACCTATATTTTTTTTATTATATGCTTTAAAAGTAAATTTATTCCTCTATATATTTTGACTGGCTTAAAAATGGAGGAGGTAAAAGCGATTTTTTTGTCAACTGACATAATTCTTATTTAATAAAGGTCCTATGTAAGTCTTAATAAGAAAAATTCCATCCCTCGAAACGCAATAAATACTTTTAAATGATTTGGAAATCGATTCTCTTTTATGCAATTAAACTTAAGAACAACAATGTTTTTGAATATTTTCTGCGATACTGATTATATTTTTTATTCTGGATTTGAGGAAAAAATACCTATCGAGAAGGCGAAAGCTGATGGAAAAATAGATGACGTCTTCCATAATACCAGTTGGATCTGCCACCAAGTGATGAATTTATAATTTTTTTGCATAACAGGATTGTTTTGTAGTAAAGCTAATGGTTTCGAAAAATAGCTAACCTTTTGTTTAGTTTTTAATCATTGTAACACATATTTCGGCAAAATCAATTATGTCAGAATACTTTTGCAACTTGTCTGCGTCATTTTACAAATCCGCGAGCGTTTTTATGGAGTCGTTTGTATAATGACAAATTATACTATATACTTGCCCACATATGTATATATATACATACATCTCGTGAGAAAGTGCGTACCTACTTTGAATTTTGTGAAATATGAAGAGATGATGCCATTGTTATAACAACGATGACAACAAAAAAATCTGTAGAAAGTATTTAAATTAGCCATTGTCCACAACTACACGATAATATCACTGTCTTGTATGACAGTGATATAACTATAGAACTTCTACTAACTATTAAGTTCTTTTATAGATAGGTATTATATATGAATATTTTAGTCAATTTATGCAAGCAATTATTTATTAGACACTAATATTTTCATAGGATGTTGGAAGATAATACTTTTTCATAATTTTGAGAAAAACCTTTTTTTCCACATCCACGAAACTACCTCTTTATTGACGATATTGTTTTTAAAACAATAAATGATACATATTTTGAAATTCTGTGCATTTGTTTAATTAAATTGAAATTGGTTTAAAGTAACAAATGTACAAGATTTATTATACATAATACATATTTATGAAGTCATAATTATTATTCAACTTTCATGAATTAAATAGACATTTAAATACAACCATGTGCACGTTAGATACACATTCATTTCAAATTTCGTCATGCAGAAACTATGATGTTGTGATGATATTTTTTTATTTCACTAAGATATACATATGTATGTTAATGAGATATTTCTTTAAAAGTGAATATATTTCATTTGAGAGGCTGATTGAAAAAAAACTGTGCAACAATCAAGTGCTTCTGGTGACGAGATGTAGGGACCCTATATATACTAATATTATAAAGAGGCAGAGTTTGTCTGAACGCGCTAATCTCAGGAACTACTAATCCGATTTGAAATTTTTTTTTTGCATTAGATAGCCCGTTTATTGAGGAAGGCTATAGGGTATATATCATATAAAATATAGTTTATCTATTCCATACTAACCGTTAAAATGTACCTAAGAATGAACCCGAGTGGAGCGAGGATGAGTCGCTAGTTACTAAAAAGTTTAAATCAACTGTTTGTCTGTACATTTTACATTTACAGGATTTTCAGGAGTTTTTTAGAATGTTTTACTTAACGCCTATTAAATAGCAGTAAAATATTAACGGGGAACAACTTCTTGAAGTCTGAAAACGTTTTTACATATTTTTTATATTTTTGCCATTTAAATGGCAATCAAGCGCCAAACTTGGGTGTTATTATACTGCTGCAAGCCTTATAGTAAAACAATAAATAATAAAATTGGCCAAGCGTGAGTGGGATCTTCAAAAGTTTTAACCATTATTTAATAACACATTATGTGAAAATGTAGTATTTGAACAAAGACAATTCATTTTGTATGGTTCCGTAGCTTTACTCAATTTCGACAATGTAGCTCCAACAGTTTTAAAATGGCTGTGACATACGGACATGGTAAATTGCATCACTTCAGTTATTAAGTACTAGCCTTTACTATGTGCAACGATTACAATACCATATAAAGCGGCGATGTCTGTCAAGTGCTCGGCCTTAGATCGTCCACAGCTCAAGCCAGAAAAATAAGGTTTTGTCAATTCGTACATGAATTCTACGATATGCGGTATTCATGTGATTTGTATCTGCGAATGCACTTGTGTTCTATATTCTCTTCTACACGACTGAAGAAATTAGGCACACGAAAAAGGCATTCGCGTTTCCTCAGAAAAAAATGGTAAATATTTCGGCTCGACTTTCGGGTCTCACCTCAGGACCAGTTCTATGGTCGGTAGTGAAATTATATGGCCATACATATTTTTTAAAACATGTGTTTAAAGCTATTCACTTTAATACTTTCTTAGATTAACGCAAATATTTGACATTTTAAATAAAATTATCTATTGACTTTCTATACGGGATACACTAAGTATTAACATAAAAAAAATCTGCGTTTTAGCGACAAGGGCACTTTTTGTACATTTTTTTATTTTTTTTTTTGGTAGTACGACAATTTTATTTGTGGACAAAGAAAATCACAATAAAGAATATTTAATAATTTTAACAATTTCGAGTATATAATGTTTAAAATATAATTATATACATGATTTATAATTGTATACATTATAAAATCGATCGTGTATGATGTCCAAGTGCGCAAGTGATAATATAGTACACAAATGTGCGCGTAAAAGTACACTCTTTGTACCTGTCACTAACATAATCTGGTGGGACGAATTCGATACAAACGGAGAGGGATCAAGCACAGGACCGACGCGACTCATGGTTCAAAAGCACAAGGGTGAAAACACCGCCAAAATCCACACTCTAGGCTGAAACTATCTACAGAAAAACTCAATAACTAAACTTGGCCCAACCCAGGTATCGAACCCAGGACCTCTAGATCTGCAACCGTACATGCTAGCCACTAGACCACAGAGGCAGTTGTGATCCTATACGAACAGTTCCTCACCTGGTACTCATCGTCGACGGCGGAATCAAAGGTTTCCCGCAGACGAGCCTCCCCGCGCGCGTCCGCCTTCGCCGCCAGCTGCTTCTCCCGGAGCGACGTCCTGCGCACCGACCGCACTCTGCACAGAGGAGAATTATATTATTACTCTATAAACTAGTTATGTAACCAAACCAGGGACAGATTATCCATAGGACAATGTAGGCAACTGCCTAGGGGCCCCGCATGGACTAGGTAAACCACGAACGCGTGCACCGAGAATTTTTTTTTGAAAATGTGAAACATTCATCAATCAAACATCGAGTGAAAATTTAATTTCTAAAGTAATTAAAAAATTTAGTCAATATTTCACCACGAGAACTAATACAACAGTTACATTTCTATGAAATCTACCTAATAGCGTAATTACGAATATATAAACAGAAAAAAAATAAAAAAAATTTTTTGTTATAAGTACCGTATATTCTTTCATATATGCATTAGGAAAAAGCTCTATTTTGACATTAAAAACACTTCAATTTAATTTATCTGTGTATGTGTAGATTTTATAAAAGCAATCGGAAGCTGCGGCTTCGCTCGCGCTAAAACTACAAAAAAATCTCTAAAAAGGTAACCAGGTTTTATACAAACTTTCATCCCCTATTTTACCCTCAATTATAGGATAAATTTCGAAAAATGCTAACAACAACAAACATACGTATTTATTTAATTGTATTGAAGAGCATTAATACCACGTTTCAAATAATTCTGATCATAAATATTTACACGTTATAACGTGTGTTTTCCCTTGGGAATTAGGTAACCTCCTGCAGTAAAAAGTAGCTTATATCACTTTCCAGCTTTATACAAAAAATCACGTCAATCCTCACTCTATTTCGACGTAAAAGAAGGATAGACAAACAAACACACTTTCACATATACATGACCTGCTAGTGGAGGCAGTGGAGGAGGAGCGGCGCGCCGCGCGCAGGCGTTCGCCGGCGGCGCTGGCGGCGCGGCGCCGCACCTCCTCCTGCTCCACCGCCAGCCGCAGGATGCGCCCGCGCATCTCGCCCTCCTCGCAAATGTCTGCCAACACACGAGTATCATTTGACTAAATAAAACTTCATTAGATTAAATAAAAAATAAATACCTAAATAAGTAGATAGATAAATAAAAACCTAATCAGATACATATTTTCGAAGTCGGTGCCTGCCGTTGCAATATTATTTTTAAGATATGAATATCTTATAGGTAAATATGATTAAGTACGAACACTAATATAGTTAAAATATTATATATCAATTTGTGATCTCTTTTACGCATCGAAATATATTAGCTTTACATCGGCTGGCACCGACTTCAAAAATATCTAATTAGGTATCTATTCTAAATGAAAACCCCCGTTTAGTTATTTTTTACATTTTAGTGTCTGGAAGTCGGTATTTTTTAAGTTTTTATTTTTTCCATTTTAGTGTAGATGTAATAACATATTCAATTAAACCATTTATTTGAAAAAATAATTAATAGTTGATTTTTTAAAAACCGCTCGACCGATTTGGATAAAACTTAAATGGGACCACACCTGGGATATATATATATATATATATATATATATATATATATATATATATATATATATATATATATATATATATATATATATATATATGTCGATATATATATATATAGATATATATATATATATATATATATATATGTCGATATATATATATATATATATATCCCAGGTGTGGTCCCATTTAAATTTTATCCAAATCGGTCGAGCGGTTTTTAAAAAATCAACTATTAATTATTTTTTCAAATAAATGGTTTAATTGACTATGTTATTACATCTACACTAAAATGGAAAAAATAAAAACTTAAAAAATACCGATATATATATATATATATATATATATATATATATATATATACCTTTGAGAACCTCCTCCTTTTTGGAAGTCGATTAATAAAACTATTTTTTCGGATTTTTTGGCGTACTTTGGGTTTTGGTTCCCGACGTTTCGAATGCTTTACAGCGATAATAGTCACAGGAGAGACTGTAGAGGTATATAGACAGTGCCTACCCACAAATTTACAAAAACTTTATAATATTAGTATAGATAAATAACGCAATTCTCTTGTGATCTGTATGTGTAAAAAATATGGCTAAAACTATTTATCTTATAAGTTCTAGGATTCCCATTGCATTATTATCAAATTAAGTTAAATTTAAATTGTGTATGACCTTTTTTGGATTGATTTCTATATTTAAAAAAAAACATACCCGCCGGAGTCTCATCATGCTTGTTCCTTACGTTGAGATCAGCTCCATAATGTACCAACAGCTCTAACACTTCTAACTGCAACAAAAACAATATATTAAAAAATACATACAGGTAATTGGTGTCAGTAAATAAATAAATTAAAGACAATTAAAATATGTCCTTTTTCATGATATAACAGATTTGTTTAAAAAGAAACATCATTAATAAAAACAACAATTCAGAGTATTGACAACTAGGTGTTCTTACGTTATAAAAGAAGCTTACAACATAGATATCATTAAAAGTCAAAATGGCGGATTTGAAGTGCCAATTTGTGTATCTTAAATTTTTTTTTTGCAAACATTAAAAAAAGAGCCGACTGCGTAAAAAGCGAACTAAAAACACGAAAACAAGTTGAGACCGAAACATAATATTGTTATGTTTCTTTGTCAACTTGTTTTCATATTTTTACTTCGCATTTTACACAGTCGGTTGTTTTTTTATTTTTGTAAATATTTTCTTTATTTTATATTGTACTTATTGGTGGTTTCTACCCCGTGACACGTAAAATGCTAATCTTATTGAAATTGGCCGTGTCCGAAAACATAAACCAGTCAGGAGGATATTATTATTAGTATATACATATATAAAATTAAATATCAACATGTCTGTTTGTGTGTGACTCACATGCCCCCAGCAGGCGGCGGCGTGCACCGGCTGCCACATATCGTGGTCCACCACGTCGGAGGACGCGCGGTGCTCCAGCAGGAACTCCACTACCTTTATATACCCGTTTGCCGCCGCTATGTGGAGCTACGAAACATATATTTATTTTATAATATTTAACTATATATTGCCTGGAAACGCGTAAAAACGAGAAGTATTACTTTTAGATTTTAAGTCATCACTTAAAAGTTCCATTACAATATATTAAATATAGAAATTCAACATAGAAAATTACTCAACTTGCAAAAATTAAAAAAAAAGACCAGGTTCAATTTTCGAAAAAAGTTAAGTACATATATATGTATAATTAAAAATTTGCTTAACATGTATATTATAAATATTAGAAAGACATTTTATATGTATATATTTGTTACGGCTGGACGGATTTGGATGTACGTAAACTATGTACCTGGAATAACACATAGGTTAGGCACTCACGCACCCGAGCAAAGCTAGATTAAGTCACTAGTCTATACATTTAATAAAATTGTAACTAAGCCGAATTTCTATATTACATTTTCTGGAACATCTTATTGAAATAAACATTATTATCGATACAGAAGCCGAATCTATAGTTTTTAGATTTTTTGTGTCTGTCTGTTACCGCATCACAGAAAAACCACTGGACGGATTTTATGACATTTGTTGTAGTAGGCTGGTTATCCGGGTCAACATATAGGATACTTTTTACCGCGGGAAAATATCTTATTTCTGAGAAAAAATACAAAAACTGCAATGTAAGAGTATATGTACTAATATGTAAAACCTAAGAATTTGGTTGTTGGGTTGTTGGTCATATGAACGCGGGCGGAGCCGCGGGCAATGCTTGTATATAATAAAAAGCTTTATATACATTAAGAATATACTAATGGCACTAGCAATATTCATAAATCACGCGGTTAATGAAGCTGAAACCGTCAGAAAATGATCGTAAACAATTGCATCACGAGCAATTTCAACACTTGATCAAGTACACGGCAGTATGATATGCATTGTCTCAAATTTCATGACCATTTTATATTATTGGACTAGGTAGTAGCGAAATTGCACATGACTGACGTCATACAAACATTATTATTGGTCGTAATTTGTACGTTACAAGAGAACCGTGTCTATATAAGATATAATGACAAAACGATAAATATAGAATATTTAATTTGAAGATATTTTCTAAGAATTTTATTTTATTCTGGTAAAAAAAAACCGCCAATCTTAAAAAAGGCAATATAATGCCGAACAAGGAAAACATGCTTAAGAAGTTGAAAAGCAATTTAACTTACTAAAGTAGCCCCCTGACTATCTCTCGGCTCGTCTAAATCCATTCCCTGTTTAACTAATTGATCTACATCTATTAACATTTGCATCTCTGTAGCCGCTCTGGTTTCATCTATCAGTCCTTGTGTTACACCTCTAGCTGCCATTTCACTTTCTATCGCATCCAGTGTTCTTTCTTCCTCGCATATATCGTAAGGCATATTTCCATCTCCATTAACCGCTAGTAAGTTAGCTCCTCTTTGTATTAATATTCTAACTAAGTTTAAATTCCCGCACGTAGCTGCCGCGTGTAAGGGAGTCCATTTTTCGCTATCTTCCGCATTTACGTTCGCGCCGTGGTCGAGAAGTAATCGCATCATCGCCTCGTTATTATCGATACAACATTGGTGTAACGCTGTTAGGCCATCTTCATTCGTCGCGTCTGGAGTCACGCCGCGTGCTAACAGCCTTCTTACTGTAAAAAATATTAAGCTTATTTAATTATAACATTATATGTATAGTATAAGTATATTTAATTGCATTCAATACAAATATATATTTCTATATATTTATTTAGTGTTTAGAAGAAAAAAGAAGATTCAATTCCCTCTATCTAGACGTGGAGGTGAAGCAACTTTTTGGTTTAGGAACGGCTGAATATCATCAATTTTTTTCTTATCATCATCTCCATTCTAGGTTTCTTTCAAATCTGTTAAGCCATCATACACTCACTCACTCTCTAAGTTTCTCGTTTAGTTAACTAACACCTCCAGGTAAATTTCTAAGAAATTTATTCAATTTTTGAGAAATCTATTGTTAACTGTAACGCCGGCGTGTCCGCGGTCGTGAAGGGAATATTTACATTAGTATGATATATTGCTCAGACGCAAATTTATTATTTACTTAGCTTAGTTGCTTAAAAAAGAACGTTGAACAGTTGGTAATAACGTGTTTGTGTTTTGAATAAAAATGTATATTAGATATAGAGGAAACATTCGTAATATATGTACGTATGATGAAGGAAAATTAGATAAATTTGACTGGACTTTGGGCCCTTGAAACTTTTCTTAAAGTATCGCTTAATTTATAACCTCCTAACATTGAAAACAAATGATCAGAAATTCATATTAATGCTATCCATAAATGCATGTAGATTGTAGTGACTATTATAAAGTCACCCGTTTGTTATTTTACAGCAATTCTCCCTTAAATTGTATTCGATATTAACATTTTAATAACAATCAATATACATTCGTGTAAAATACAGCTACATAAATAAGCCATTTCAATACAAATATTAAGCTTTTTAATTTTTACTCGGTGGGATCATTGCTAACGACTGTCGTAAACTTTTATAATCTACTCGTTAATCTAAGTTAATTTTATGATTTATTACAAAAATATAAATAACATGTTGTTACATTTTTTTTTATTATTTACTACTATTTATAACATATCTTAAGCTCTTCACGGATGTTTACGTCATATCATTATTCAAGTGATGGATATAAAACGGCATTTAACGATTTGATGAAGTCACTTGTATTATGTCATGGTCATTTCGTTATTTTCCTATTATTTTTAGTAAAAAAAGCACAAATAATTCTTATCAAAATTTTGCTCCGACTACTAGTCATTATGAGCACCGTAAGAATGTTCTTGACCTGAATACTCGTTACAGACGTAGTTTTTGTTTTGTCCGATTTTGCACGCTTTTTACTTTCCCTAGCTCGTTGATTTTGTTGACTTTATGGTAATTTTTAATAAAAGTACGAGTTACGTTTAAAAATGCAAGATATTTTTGTTTTCACTATCATACGACCAACAGAACATTGCGAAGGTAACGAATGTGCATATATAGAGATCTATACTACGGTAATCACCTTCTTCGATGTCATTTCTAGCGGCGGCTTCGAGGAGCATGACGCTATCACTAAAGTATATACTACGTTTGTTGCTCTTCTCCCGTTTGGCCCTCGCTCGCGCCCACTCCTTCTCTCGCTGTTGCCATAGTTTAAGTTGCTGCATGCGCCTTCTATAAAAGGTAAATACAAATATTGAGTAACTTTGACATTCGCGCAGCATTTAGATTATTCTATTTTTATAAAATGGTCACTCACTCACATATCGGATAAAGGTTGAAATTGAAAAAAACACCCACGTGTTGTCTGATTTAATACATTCGTAAACTAAAAATCAAATTATTTAGTAAGAACATTCTAAAATGTTTGGAGACAGATAACTTTTAATTTTTAACTCGCAAATTGGTAACTTGGTAATTAATTTACAAGATTTGTATTAAAAGTAAATTTTGCTAATTGGGTAAAACAGATTAACGTCAATGCCTTAACAATTGTTACATTTCCCAATGAGCGTAAAGGTCGCCGTAAAAACTGTCTACGTTTGCTGTAATAATATACGAGTACATTTAAAGTGCAATTTTTAACTTATTTGACAAAGTCCACTATCAGTTCACTTAACATGAAACAAAACATCAAATCTAGCTAGTTCTTATAAAACTTATTTTTACCTAATATTTATAAGGTTTGGAGATTTGAAATAACGACGGACATACTTCATCGAAACGGTCTGGACCAAATAAACTAGGCCACTGCATTTTGACTGAATGCCGTTAAGCGGATAATCTTATTGAAATTGCAATTATTATTTTATGTTTGTGGGTTAAAAAATTGCGAGTCAAAGCTATACAACGTCGCACCGAATGAAACTGGTTATATAGCGGGGTCATTTGTGTGCCGTCAAGTCCAGGATACATACGCATATATTATTAAATCTTACGTCTATAAAACTGGGGCACTTACAAAACTGCGTGCACTAATTGTAACATTTTTTAAAGTTATTTTATTACTAGCAGAACCCGCGGCTTCGCTCGCGCTAAAACTACAAAAAAATCTTTAAAATGGTTGGTTTCATACAAACTTACATCCGCTATTTTACCCCCTTAAGGGATAAATTTCAAAATGGCTAAAACATGTATTTAATTAATTGTTTTGAAGAGCATTTATACCAAGTTTTAAGTAATTCTGATCATAAATATTTTTTCGGATTGTATTATAACGTGTTTTCCCGTGGGAAAGAAATAATTTCCCGTGGTAAAAAATAGCCTATGTCACTCTCCAGCTCTCCAACTATCTCCACACCAAAAATCACGCCAATCCGTCACTCCGTTTCGACGTGAAAGAAAGACAAATAAACAAACACACTTTCACATTTATAATATTAGTATGGATTACAATATATATTTACGTATACTTTATGCGATCATTACCTTTGCGTAGCGAGTGTCAACGAAAAGTTTGTTTTGAACTGTAAAACCTCAGTAAAGGTTTAAATTGAGACGTCGTGATTGTAGCATTAGCGCAATATTGAGTGATTTACGAATAAACGTAGGTATATTGTCATATAACATCTTCACACTCTGATTGTGACAATTGAATTTAAATCGTCACATATTGTTGCTAAATTGCCTTGTATATTAATACGATTTATTCTATTTTAGTTTAGGCTTTAAATAGATATTCGTACATCAAGTATCTAATGAAATGAAAAAAATCTAATGTTCATCGCGTCAGGTAAGATTCCATCGTTGATAACTGTAAGACAGTGATGGCTAATGGGGAAACTAGATCTTTCGATATGTATTAGATAACAGCGTCTACTTGTATTTATATTGGCAGCAAGGATAAATGATATTGAAGATAAATATTTATTATTTAGTGACGATACAAATAACTTTTTAATTTAACAAAACACTTTAAACCTAATGGACGAATAAGGTCATAAGCAAAATTAATTAGATAATTTTTAGGTATACAGGACTTCGTATTTAACCTACCTAAGTCGTCTAATAAGCTTAATTTTATAATGAAATCAATAGTTGCTGGGTATTTTGTTTAAATTTTACTTATCTTCTTTTACTACTTAAACGTAAAAATATTTATTAATATATAATCTATACATATAATAAAATTGTAAGTAAGCCGAATCTGTACATTAAATATTTTTTAGAAAATCCTATTGAAATAAACATTATTATCGATACAGAGGCCGAATCTATAGTTTTTTGAATTTTTGTCTGTGTCGGTCTAGTACCGCATCACGGAAAAACCACTGGAGGGATTTTGATGAAATTTGGTATAGCGATAGCTGGTTATCCGGGTCAACATATAGGACACTTTTTACCCTGGGAAAATATCTCATTTCTGAGAAAAAATACAAAAACTGCAATGTAAGAGTATACTAATAAGTAAAACCTAAGAATTTGGTTTTGGTCATCTGAACGCGGGCGGAGCCGCGGGCAATGCTAGTTGCTAATAAAATTGACTGGTGCAAATAAAAATAATTGTTTATGAAATAGGTATGTTCACTACTTTGATGTATCTATGACACGATATATAATATTTTATATTGTAATTTCCTTGGAAGCCTTTTATATTTTACGCTTTAATCCCGCATAGGGTAACAGTTCGTTGGCATGCAATCGTAAAAAGTGAAAACAGTTTCACTTCATACTACGCTGATAAGTATTCATTTTGCAAAGATAAAACAGAACACTTGATTTTTTTAAGAAATTGTTTTATTTATATCAATCTCTTATATCTACTTTTATACCTCATTTTTTTACTTCGTGCGACTTTATATATCCATCTAACAAAACGTGAGCGGTGCTCTACATGTTTATAAATTCTATTCCTATTAAAATAGTTTATTTGTGTATATTTCTTCATTTTTACATAAACTAAAATAATGAATAAAGTTAGAGAAGGTTAGTAATTAGTATGTTATTAAGTTTTTTCCCAATAAAAATAAATTTTTAAAGCGCTGATTACTAACAGTACCTGCTACTATTAAGTTGTTGTTAAATGTAAAAAAATCTATACATTATAATGATTTTTATTTATTTTAAGTAAGCAACCTAACGAGTTAGACACTCACGATACTGAGAGGTTAAGACTTCTAATTCTAGTGTTGCTGATTATACTTATCTACTAAATCTACTTATACACTATCATCTCCCAGTACGTACGGAAAACCAAAGGCATAATAAGCATCATAATATGTCATAATAAAACACATAGGTATAAATATTCTTGATTGAATTCACTCAGAAATTGATAATACACATTGCAGAATCATTAATTTTTTTACAATTTTTTATCTAAAGGTGTTAAATATCGATTCTTTTTTTATTGACTGCCGAAATAAGCCACAACAACCATGGGTTTGCTCCAACAGTCCATTCTGCCTTCAGAAAAGTACCAGGGGCAACTCGCATGGTACCCACCGCCCACCGAAATGGGCCACTTCCCTGTGCGTTTATTGGCCTCGTGTCCGGTTGAACTGCCGGACGCTAATGAGACCTCCTCCCCCCTCCCCGCACCACGACGACAAGGTGACGACGAATGTTAGGAGGGGGATGGGGGGGAGGGTTATAAATAATGAACCTAGATTATCCATAAAGTACCTACTCAGTTACTAAAAAAATGTAATGAAAACTCTGTCTTTATATTGTTTTAAAAATCTCGGCTCATTCACTCAAGTCTTAACCCCTGTTTACCAATTTTTGATGTCATGTCATATCTTCGACAGTATCTTTTAATGCAGTATCATAGATTTCGATATTTAAGATTTAAAAATTGTTTTCTAGATTCAATTAGTATTTTTCAATTTTCATGTAGAACAGTTGTAAAGCGCTGTTAAGATATCTATAGGTACTCCTATCTATATCGCAATAATCTAAACGTATTTCAACTAAACAACGATCCAATATATCATATTTATCTGAGTTTGACATCCGACTTGATAAAACTAGATAAGTCCCTAACTCTAATAACTTAACAATACCCAACACGTGAATAACACAAAATAATAAATTGAGCGTTTATAAAGGAATAAAAAGTAGGTCAGTAAGCATTCGTATTTTCTCTCACTGGTCAAGATTTATAAAGCGTGCTTTCAAGATAAAACTAAGCCTCAACACTTTTACTCTTACTAAATACGACAGCACGATACAAAATATGTAACAAAATTATGAAACCATATTCAACCTCAGCAGCAATTATACTAAATAGATCTAAATAGGTATAGCCAATAATACACCATTCAGCTAATAATTATGTTGAACAGTTTGTTACAAGTCACTATAGTTATTTTTATTTATAACAATGATTAGGTCTGATTTTTACAATGTTAAATATTTTCTTTTAGAATTGTTAATAATATTTTCCTTATATTTAAGTTAAAAATAACTACAAAAATTATATTTATTTTTTCTGTATCAAATAGCTAGATAGAAATTAGCTTAATCTATACATATATTAAAATTCTAACTCAACCGAATCTGTACATTAAATATTTTTTGGCCAAATTTCATCAAAATCCCTCCAATGGTTTTTCCGTGATGGGGTAACAAACAGACAAAAATTCTAAAAACTATAGATTCGGCCTCTATATCGATAATAATTACTATTTCAATAAGATTTTCCAAAATATATTTAATGTACAGATTCGGCTTAGTTAGAATTTTATTATATGTATAGACTAGCAACTCATCCTGCCTTCACTTCGGGTTCTCCCCTAGGCAAAAACAAATCTATCTCATGGGAACCGTACATTTTTCCGGGATAAAAAGTAACCTGTGAGCTATTCCAGACTACAATCAATATCTGTGCTAAATTTCATCCAGATCAGTTCAGCCGATCTGGTGTGACAAAGTAAAAAGTAGGTACCTCTCCTTTCATCCATACTCACAAACTTTCACATTTATAATATTAGTAAGTATGGATGAATCATAATTTCCTAATGTCTCAATTTTTCTCTCTAACATGTGAAAAGTACTTATTGGAAACTAGCATTGCCCGCGGCTCCGCCCGCGTTTAGGTGACCAAAAACCAAATTCTTATCGATAATCATGTCGATTTCAATAAGATTTTCCAAAAAATATTTAATGTACAGATTCGGTTAAGTTACAATTTTATTATATGTATAGATAAGCGGAATATGAATGTTTTAGTG